GGGAGGGCTTTTGCAGTCTGCCAAAAAGTCCCGCCCCAAACGTCCCGGCGGTTTGATGCCCGGTGCGGGTACGGCTCAGCAGCCAAGCGCAGCAGGCGGCTGGTGCGATGGGAGGGTCCGGTCTTGGCAACGTGGAGATGCTGATGCATGAGCAGGAGTTGATGCGGGAGATCATCGGGCCCCCACCGCCCATCAGCGACCAGTTCGTGCAGATATTCAACACCGTCACCATAGCCAATGTCGAGCAGAAGGTAGATCACACAGACAGACAGTGGCTGGCCCCACAACACACACACAAATGAATGGAGAAGGAAGGCATCCATCGAGATCTCTGTGTGTCGGTCGATCGATCGATCGCAGATATCTCAGGCGCGTTTTGCCTCTGCTGTAATCACCGACGATCTGTACAGTACCCACTGCTGGACTTCTACATCGTCAGCAAGCGCGCCTCCAAGGAGACCCACCTGCACGCCCTGCGACAAGCTCACCACGGGCGGCGACGGCTACCAGGCCCACCCGAAGCTCATGGATCGGGTCATCTTCCACACACAGAGTCATCTCGTCCATGCTCAGCTTCGTCGACGCCGCCGGCGACGAGACCTTCGCCTACCGCCAGTCGCTCTTGAAAGAACCTGGGTGCCTTCGTGGGCCAGCTGACCATAGCGCGCAGCCACACCATATTGGCGCGGCCAAGGACATGAGCGTCAGGGAGATGCTGGTGCACGCCCACGAGACCGGCACTCTGACGATCCTGCTGCTGCTGCTTGCGTGCAAGATCCTGGAGGCGTGCAAGGAGAGCAAGACTTCGGCCGCCGCAACCCGCGGGTGTCAGCCATCCTCAGGCTGCTTGGGGAGATCCACGGCATCAAGGACCTCAAGACCAACCTCCTTCTCACTCGGCAACCGACGGGCGAGGCCATCCGGCAGACCCGTTGATCACTCGGCGCTTGACGGGCGAGGCCATCCGGCAGACCCGTTGGTCACTCGGCGCTTGACGGGCGAGGCCATCCGGCAGACCCGTCGGCCACAGCAGCCCACACACTAAGGCCAGCTCTACTACGAGCGAGACACTCAGCAGCCGACCTACCTCCCCTCCCCAGCCGCACCATTCGCAGCCGACCGGCTGCATCAGTGCAGACCTACCGCGCCCCTCGCGAGAGCGGGCAAGAGGCAGAACCCCTTGCCCCCATCGATGGGCTACGAGATCTTCAAACACGGCACCGTGGCCATCGACAGACACAATGACGCCATCCTGCCTTCTCCGGCCACCACAGGCCGTCGGCTAAGGGCCCTTCTCGTCTGGGTAAGTGCCTACGCATGGGCGCACGCGACTGAGACAGACAGACACGGCCCAACCTGTGTGGATGTCTCGGTGTGTTTGTTGTCTGTCTGCAGGTTAGTAAGCCGTACACTCCTCAGTGAGTGAGCGGTCTTGAACGCCTTGATGGGGGGGCCCGAGTGATGCCAGATGGCGCGGCCAATTAACACACCGGTGAGTCAGTCTGGCCGAGGGAGAGGGCGAGTGGCCCGTCGGAGCCATACCACCGAGTCACGACAGTATGGCCGCTACACCCTGGCTGCTGCCAAGGTTCCCCGCGCCCGTCCGTCTGTGTCGCTGGACGAGCTGGAGCCGTCGGGTGAGCGCCGTTTGTGGCGCGCCGGCCGGTCACCTTGGAGAGAGTGGAGCGTGGTGGCGTGCATCATGTCTGTGACGGTGTACTGTGGGTGTGGTGCATGGGGCCGCTGGGCCAGCCGGTCTGCGCACTTGTGAGCTCTTTCGGCCGGCAGAGATTGATAAAGGATGAGCGGGCGTGTCGGGGTGTATGCGTACGGCACTTCTCTGACAGACGATAGATACTTTCTGGTACTTCCTCTGGGCGAGTGCGTGCGAGCGTGAGGAGGGGGTGGATTGCGGGGAGGGGCAATGGTGTGTAAGCACACCATCATGTCGGAGTGTCGGTGTAGACATTGGCACTTTCTGGTGGGTACTTTCTGGTTGCGTGACTGACTTATTTGTGAATGACTTTTCATGCAGTTTTCCTGTCTTTGTTTTTCCCCCTGACCTGACCTGACCTGACCTGTTCTAGCCAGGCGTGCACCGAGAGAGGAGAACACTTCCTCCTGTTTGTTTCACCAGCCAGGTGTTTTAATGTGTAGGCACACACACATACACACACCACACACGGACGGGCTGACTGTCTGAATGGCCATGCACTACACTCATCTGATCCCACTCACACACCACCTACCTTACCTGAATGCAGTGTGTTTATGGTGGGTGGATATAAGTGAGTAGCTGACCTCACCCACTGACTCACTGACAGACAGACAGCACTGACTTGGTAGCGTCATTCATCGCTTGTGTCCTGCGCGCCCCCCAGATGACAGATGACATTGTGCCATCGTCACGCCATGAAGATCGCCTTTGTACTCGGCATCGCTCTCCTTTTCCCATCCCGGCCGTCGGCGGCAGCCATTTGAGTATTGGCGTGACAACTTGGCTCTCTATATATGTGTTCTTGGCCTTTACCCTCGTGTGTGTGTGTGTGTGGTCCTTCATTCTTCATAGCTGCCGGTGACAGCGCACTGTCGTCCCAGTGTGAATGTAAGGCGACCTGGACTTTCGGGCTGCGTGGGCAGGCAAGTCGTACGGCCAGGTGATGGGGTGGGTTCGTGCTCGTCTGTCTGTTGCGTTGGCGCGTAGTGCGAGTATGTGTGTGCAGGGTGGGCGGCGCCGCTAGAAGATACGCGCCAGGCGGGCGCTGAGGATGGTGCTGGCATGTTGGTCGATGTTGACGCAGTTCATTACATCGACCTGGACCAACAGACTCGACCTGGACTTTCGATGAACACATCAATCACTTGGCGGGGCTTGAGCATCTGACGATGCGCCTGCCGGTCGAACCCATCTGCTCCTATGGATGCCGGCTGCTGAATCGATGCTTGCTGCCGAGCAGCAGCTTCCAGGGAAGGATAGTGTTGCTCGCGGGGTGTGGCTTCCTTCAAGTTGCTCGCTCAGCTTCCACGATCCGGCCTCCATACTAAACATTCTGTAGCTGTCGAAAGAGAGGAGGCCAGTGGGCACCGTAGAACAGGTCGGTAGGTGCAATTCTGCAAAGGATTTGAGGAAATGCGATTGCGTCACCTCATCTCCTTGTCCGCCCGCCTCAACTGGCGCCCCGGCTCCCTCGCGTACAGATGAGTGGCCAGACGGAGGCGGCCTACACCTACCCATCGTCACATCGCCTGGTGAGCAACACCCGCTGCCATCACACCATCACACATGTGCTTTGCCTTCAGCCTCGGTGACAGTGATGGCGGCTCAAGCTGCACAGTCATCATCGTCGTCACCAGCTGCAGCAGCGGCACCAGCACCGCATGTATGTGGGCCACCCAGACACCCAGACTCATTCGTTGCTGAGGTCTGCCTCCTTTGTTCGTTTCATCAGGTGGCGCCATGCCGTGGGCCCTGTGGTGACCAGAAGGGCAGTCGTGTGTGGGTGGTGACGGAGAAGCGTGACGAAGGCGAGCAGGAGTGGGTCAAGGCGGACGTCTACCGCATCGATGGGAGGACGGTGTACTTCCGGGAGGTGGGCGGCGGGGAGGACTTCAAAGTCACTGTGCCGACCAAGACCATTCCACCCACAGAGCTGACGCCACACGCGGTGAGCTTACGTACGAGAAGCTAACTGCCTCGTTGGTCCACTCATGTGCCCATTCTGTCTGAGTGCAGGTGTGTGACGGCTTCCGTTATCTCCGCTCAAGGAAGCCGCTCAAGGAAACACACTACGGCAGCAAGAAGGTACACATACCCTACACACAGCACACGGATGCCACCCCTTTCTCCGGTCTGTTCACCCTTCATCGTTGCTTTCCCTCTCCCTGTCAGGCCGTTGACCGTCTCGGCAATGACGAGTTGGCATCGCTGTTAAGCTTCATGACCCCTTGCGGGCTGTCCGCCCTCTTCCCACACCGCTCCCTTGTCCGCAATGGAGCCGTCCGGCAGCACACAAACATCACCATCGACGCATCCACCCCCGGCGAGTGTCAGTTCTGGGCCAGCACCACCACACAGGAAGCGTTCAAGCTCGGCAGACGGCTGACCAGCCTGACGTCCGCTCACGTGGCGCAGCCACACACCCATCCGGAATGGTGCGTGAACACATTGACGGCCATTGTGGAGGGCCATGCTGCGGGCCGCCGGGTGGCGCGGGAGGGAGAGAGCTCCATCGAGTCCATCCACTTCAGCTGCCCGACCGACGGCCGTGCCAGCCATGTGTATCCATCCCGGCCCCCGCATCATGATTATCTAAGCCGCCCCTCTCCCCGTCTCCAGCTGCCGTCCCTCAAGAGCATCACCGGTCTTCGTGTTCGTGAAGATCACGAGATGCTCGAACCCCACAAGATGCTCGAACGGGGGTGGGTGATGCCTCAACTGGAGGTCGTGACCACGGGAGGAACCTTCAGGCTCGCGACGGACGACTTCGTCCACTTTCTGCGGCAGCTGATCAAGACGTCTCGGTCCCTGAAGCGGCTGGCCGTGGGTGGGCTTTGGCGCAACGCGACGCTCGATGTCCTAGCCGACATGCCTGGGGGCGAGAGTGGGGAGAGGGGGCCACTGGCGGGGCTCGAGCACCTGTCGACGGTTTTCCTGGGACCCAGGGAGGACTTCGAAGAACTTCAGGCAACCAGAGGGAAGGCGCCGCAGAGCTCACACATCATTGTGTTGTGTCGGTCTCCTCCTCAGAGGTTGTTGGTTTCTCGCGGATGCAAGCAGTCCATCCGCCATCTCGGGGTTCGCAGCACCGTGCCTTTCCGGGCCGGAGACGTTCGACAAGGGGAGCGTCATTGGCTCCTTTCCCTCAAGGCCTTCGCCGAGGCAGTCGCGTCGCCCTCCGTCGACATCGACTGCCGCCTGTCCGAGCCTGTGGGCTGCCTCAACACATTCCTCGATCCGGCACTGCTCGACACACCCTCTCTCACCAAGCCCCTCCAGGCCATCGCGAAGGAAGCCGGGACGATCGCCCCATTCGGTGACCCCCTCCGCAAGGGGGGCGCCATCACACTGGAGGTCACGCAGGCCATCATCGACGGCAGCAGCGAAGTGATGGGGTCCCTCACCAAGAGGGCGCAGCAGACGGCAGCCAGCATCATATTCGAGAAGGTGAAGAAGGTGGTGATCTTGGCGGCGGAGGATCTGGACATCCCCGAGGACGCCCCTCCTCCCTACATCCCCGCTCTCGAGCACCTCTCCCCCCAGGCATTCCCCAATGCGACAGGGCTGTTTGTGGGGGCAAGACCCGTCGGTCTCCAGGGGCCCCAGGCAGCTGCGGATCTCACGAGCCGGATGCCTGCACTCACTCACCTGAAAATCACGTCTGCTGCACCTGACATCGTCGACATGCTGAGATCGATCGGCGACCGGGTGCCACGCAGCGTGAGTCTGGAGGGTTTTGACATTGGCCTTCCACCCCCCGCCCCCAATCCACTGCCCCCTGCGTCTCTGCCCCGCGTCAAGAACCTGTTGGTCAGGGGCCATCAGGGCATGGCTGCGGCCAAGGCGGCGGTGATCGGCATGAGCTCACTGGAGGAGGTGGTAGTGGACAAGGCTGATGTAGCAGGGTTGCTGACGGCGATGGGCGGCGGGCGGACGCTCAATACGCTGCGACTTTCCTTTGATCCACCTAGTTTCCGCGCCCTCGAGTCTGCTGATCCGACTCACCTGCCCGTAGTACAGAGCGCGGAAGTGTTTGTGCCAGGTACACAACAAGTGCGCCACTCTTCTTCTTCTTCTTCTTCTTCATCACATCTGTCCGCTTCCACACAGTTGCCGATCGTACCGTCTATCCTGCTGCCGATGTCCTAGCCGGTGTGAAGGCCTTGTGCCGTCTGCGAGACCTGCAGCAGTTCGAGTTGGAACTCCGTGGGGCATCGGAGGTCCGCATCGGTGGCCCTGAAGACCCAATCCACGCGTTGTTAGGCGAGATGCAGCAGCGACACGGCAAGACATTCGGCACATTGAGGAGGAAGCCGGCGGAGGGTTGCTTCGGCTATCGTCTGCTGCTCAAAGCTCGCGACATACAGCAGGTCAGTGATGTGTGTGCATTGCTCCCTCGTCCATCCATGCAGTCACTTTCACTCGCTCTCATGTGCCATGGAGAGTCCCGTGCAGTTGCTCATGTCAGAGGCCCAGATCGCTATTAATGCCGCCAACGACCACATCACCGGTGAGCACAAGGCTGTCTGTCTGTTGATGGGCTGTCTGAGCCTTCCATGTGTCTGTGCAGGAAGTGAGAGTGGCGGTGCAGTGCGGCCGTCCGTGGACGAGGTGTCTGGCCAAGAAGGTGGAGGCGAGAGGTGTGATGAACCGCCCAGCTTCAGACAGCAAGTTGGCGCGGCCACGGCAGCCATCGCCGCGACATCGGGTGTGCCTGGATCGGCCACCAGTAGCTCTGGAGTCGCCAACATCGCTTCTGTAAGCAGATGGATCAAGACGTATTTGATGCTTCCGGAGATGTCGTTCGTCGTCGATGTGTGCATCGGTTTGTGCCTCAGGTGGCGGCACCGGTGGCTGCTGCTGCTCCCGGCTTCTCACCCTCCCCTGTGCCATACCAGGCCCCTCACCTTCGCCCGCCGCCCTCCTTAGCACCCTCAGTGAGGCCTAAGACACCCAGCTACATCTGCCCGCCGCCCTTCACGCCTCACCCCACTGCTGCCATGCCGCAACCGCCGTGGCCACCGGGCCCTGCCGTGGTGCTCCCCGCCCCAAACCCAGCCCCAGCACAAGGGATGGTGATGCCAAATCAAGTCCAACCACCGCAGTACCTGATGCACCCGATGCCGCCGACGGGCAACACAGCTGGGCGGATCACCAGAGGGGCGTGGCCGTGGGCGACGGATGGCAGAATTGGACGCAGCAACAGGGCTGAGGCGACTCGTTGACTGACTGACAGACTGACCGACTCACTGACTGATTGGGTGGGGGGTGGAGAGAAGGAGGCTATACATACGTACATGGTTGCTATGACGGGCAAGAGAGATAAGGGTGGGTCGGGCGCATGACATGAAATGGTGTGTGCATCTCAGATGGCTGCGTCGCTTCGTGTCACACTGTGTGCGTGTGTGGATAGGAAGCGACGGACGGCCGGACTCAATGGAATGGTTTCCGTTGCATATAGCTCTCTTGTCTATACTCTTCACTGCCACGGCAACGCACAGGGGCATGGTGAGGGGCGTGCAAGATAGCCGGAGGCGCTCACTCACAAGTGCCTCAGTAAGCAGATGGATGAGTTACCGAGATCAACACACGGAAAGCGAACCGCAGCAACACGGGGAGGTCTGCCGTTTTGTTCGCATGTATGGATTGACTGGATGGTGTGGTGTATTTTGGTGGGATCTCGCTCATTGTGATGCCCTGGGGTTTGCATGGTCATTGCTTACTTCGCGCTCTCTTCCTTGTTCAACGTGCGTTGGCTCAGTATCAAGCAGCGGCATCAGCAGCCAGCGGGGCGGGGAGGAAAGGGTGAGGGGAGGGGGTGTAGAGATCGATTCATGTCAATGCGTCTGTCTATTTATGGTGAGTGACGCTGTGTGGTGATGATGCGTCTAAATGACGTCCCAGCCTGCGATATCGTTGAGGCCTCCCGAAAGCAGAACACCCTCGGGAGGCCTCAACCCTCCTGGGCTGCATGGTCACTTGGTGGCACACAGGATGGAATCTTTGCAGCGGCCGTCTGCCGAGAGCCGAGTTTTCTTCGGAAAATTTGAACCGAAATGTACTCACCTGGAGTGACCAGAGACGAGAGGGAGAGACACACACGCACACACGCAGCACAGCACAAGACACAAGACAGCAGACACGCGGACGCATGTCAGATGCCATCCATGGGTGGCTCCCTATCTGTGCGTTGCATCTTGTGGTGTGTTGCCGGTCGTCCTCGGCAGCTCGTCGACAGACAGGCAGTAGTCCAGTTTGCTGTCTCTGCCGCATGTACGTACGTACGTATGACACGCTGTGAACTGAAGCTGATAGTTAGCCTGGCTAGCCTGATTGACTGACAGTTGACCGACATCGCCGGTGTGTGTGGCGTGAGTCGATGGATTTGGATGGGTTTGCATCATCGCACGACCGAAGCACAGAAGAGTAATTGATATCCCAGCACGGCCAATTGGAAGGTCTTTTCACGAAACACTCACTACTTGTCCGCTGGAAGGCCGACAACAACCCGGGCACCATCCCTCCTGCCTCTACCGATCGAGTGCCACCAATTCGCCATCTGTGTCAGTGTTAGACAGCCACACCGCCCCCCTGTCTGAAGGTCGACTGACTGCTCCTCACCCGATCTGTTCTGCAGTGCCTGTCCCCAGCAGCTGCCACGCACGATCGACAACGCACTGGGAAGAGGCTTGTGTCGACCGCTGCTTCGACAGTGTGGTCGTGGCCGCCAACAAACAATAGCTTCATCTCAGCGGAAGTGAAAAGACACGCACCACCGTCACCGACACCCTGGTGATATCATCCACGTCGACCTGTCGCACATCAACAAAGCGGTCAAGTGAGCAGCACGCCAACGAAAAGGCGTCCATTGGTTTGTGTGTTTTTCTCACTTGCCTGCTGGTCAACAGCCTTGGCCAAGCAAACAAGGCTCTTGTGCGGCCCTCTCTGACCCGGAAGGCGCGCGAAAGGGCATCATCCACCCTAAAGGGCAGCCTCGATCAGATTTGGCGTCCGCCGGGTGCGGTGAAGCTCCACCGGTTGCCAAGTAACGATCAACGTAACGACCACCCATTGCCAAAATAGATGCCGTCCTGATCGCCAGCCCAGACAGGCGGCTTCACAACAGTCATCCTCAGCACCAAACACATTGTCACATCTGTTGTCGCCCGTGGCTTCCATAAGACTGTCCAGAGGAGAGAAAGGAGGAAAGCGCGTCCCTCGTCACAAAAGCGCGCGTTTTCTCCATAGATCGCCGCCTTCCCAAAAGCATAGTGCAGCCCTCCCTGACCTTCCTCGCTCTGACGGTGCCGGAATGAATACCTCATCAACACCCAGTTGCTCGCCCATCCTCTATTCCGTGAGAGATCCGACGCCTCCAGCGGCGAGCAGCTTTTCTCCGTCTGCATGCATGCCGCGGGCCGGGGAGGAGGCCCCCACGACGAGACGCGCATCTCGCCTGGCGGGAAGAGTCGAGATTGTAATCTTTCTTGAAAGCAGAAGACGTAAGTCCACGAAAGGGTCACGATAGGCCGCTCATTGCCATGGCTGCTTGCTGGGGCTCCTCTTCTTAGGTAGCTCCAGAGTGCAATTCACTCGCCTGCGGCCGTCTGGCCGCTGTGCCATCGGTCAGCCGGCCTCAGAGGCACTCTCTGGACTGATAAGGCCGTCGTCACGGTCCGAGGGACGGGGTAGAAGAGTAGGGCGGTTTGATGCGGGACGAAGTAGGATAGTGGAACGGAGGGAGGGGCTGTCGACGAGGACGGCCGTGTGAGGCGGTTGTCCTTGACTTCAGCTGAGGCCACACACCCCACAGAAGGAACAGACGTCCTCCTCCACCCTTCTCAACATCGCCATCATCTCTTCCCTCCCTCTCACTCGTGCTTCTGCCTCTCGACTTGCCTCTATGTTGTAGGTGGTGTAGTGGATGGAGCACACTCGCACCTTGAAGAGATGATGCGCCAAATGCGGGAGGGAGAAGCGAGCCACTGTCGATCGGTCTTTCCGAGGAGGTCTTTTCGTGCTTCAGCTGTTTGAGCTTCCTCCTGTGCTTCTCTTCTTCGCCGAGAGAGAGGTCCAATCTCTTGTATCAGCGTCGCTCCTCTGTGGCGGACATGAGCGGCGCTGAAGGGGAGATTCGTCGTGTTGCCGAAGGAACTGGCAGGGGGAACTGATGACAGCATGGTGAGCGACACGCAGCACAACACGCAAACAGGACGACTTCAATATCTGTGTGTGTTGGTGTGCGTGTTCAGTCGAGTGGCGGGGGTGTGGTTGAGGGCGCAGGTGCGGGTTCCGCTCCATCGGTACGTGCGTGAATGATTGGCCAATGCGTCCCTTTCACAAGGCACCTGCAGGCCGCTGCTTCTCTCATGGTTCCTGTGTCCTGCATGTGCTGGGTGCAGGCCTCGGAGGGCGATGCAGCCGTGTTTCTGCCGCCCGATAGCCATGCATCGGCAGCCCAGGTCAGCCACACACGCATAAAGACAGACACACAGACACACAGGCACACAGACACACAGGCACACAGACACACAGACACAGTTCCTATTGCCTGTCTTTCTCAGGCGGGGGAGGACACAACAAGCACCGAGACCACACTGCAGAGCAGCGGACAGGAGCAGCAGCAACAGCAGGAGCAGCAGGTGCGTTGGGCAAGAAAGACCACACATCACCGACAGCGCACTGCATGCATACTGATGTGTGGGCGTATATGCACAGATCGTCACCTTCTTCGACTTTCTGACCGTGGCGGATCAGCAGCCGGCAAGCCCAGCTCCCGCGGGTTCAGGGCTGGTGGGCTTCCTCTCGTCGCACCCCATCTCACCGGCCATCAAGCTCTCCCTTATTTACGTGCCCCCCCCCGCATGGGGGGACGACTTCACCCCGATGGTGCTCAAGCACATCGTGCACGAGTTCAACACACGCTTCCGCGCGGCGAGCAAACCTGAGCCCGAAATTGGCTGCATCATCAAGTACGAGGATGCCACGGATGCCACACAGCTCGGGGAGGTCATCAAGAATGTGCAGAGCGTGCGGTGGGGTGCGGATCGTCCCCCGGTCGTGCCAACCGAATTCATTATCCTCATGTATCCCGAAAACGTACGTGTGGGTGGGCGGATGCCTCTGTCCATGAGACGGAGGACGAACGGTCATGGTGTGGTGTCTTGCAGGCCTTGAAGAAGGCGTATGTTTGCCATGTCCGTTCAAAGACCTCTGCCGCCGTCGACGCGGTAAGAAAGAAACGGAGGAGGTGCCAGTCACTTGACGTCATGATGGCCCTGCTTCTTTGTTCCTCAGGGCAAGGCCAAGATTCTGTCGGACCTCAACCCAACACAGGATGAGATCAAGCAGACCCTGGTATAACCACACACGGACACCTACACACTCACTCACTTATTCACGTTCTGTTTGCACTGTCTGTCTGTCTGTTTGTCAGGATGTTTTGGTGGCGCACGCCAAGAGTGCGGTGAAGCAGCACAATGTACGTTGCATCAAGGTCAGCACGACGACAGCAGAGGGCAAAGCCCTTTTCCACAGGATTCGGAGCGAGTTCCAGTCGAGCGGTGTGGTGGTTGGCATGGTGATTGGCGTCGCGGATTACGGGAGTGTGGACGACCAGACCCTCAAGACCATCAGCACCGTCCCCATCACTGTCGACCTCGACACGCAACGCGTCCCAGAGGCCGAGCTGTGTGTCAAGCTGACAGACATGATATACGAGATGCGGCGACTAGGGGCCGCCCCGCTGCACAGCATGATGACAAATGGGGCAAGGTGAGTGAGTGAGTGCATAATGGACTGCATTGTGCTCGCCTCCCACACAATGCCATTCTTTCGTCGTGTGTTGTGTTGTCTTTGTCAGCGGCGACCGCCTGTTCTTGTGTCGTCTCCGATCGACATACGGCACCCGCTTCGAGAATGCGTGCCTGCCAGCCAATGCCGGCATGCTGTGCGATGCCAGTGGCAACCCGGTCGGAGAGCGGGTCTTCGACCTGCTGGTGTACTTACTCTGCGGCACTGACGACAGAGAGGGACCTCTGCTCAAGTACATCAAGCCAGTCGGCCCCATCAAAAACGCCGTCGATCTCGTCCTCGCCAACATCTACAGGGGTGTCCGCGCCCACCTGCGGACCCGCCGCCAAACACAGGCAAGAGAAGGGTACGGTGTACATCAATGTGTTTGTCATTGATTGCCATGTGGCTGCGGTGTTGGTGTGCGTGTTCAGTCGAGTGGCGGGGGTGTGGTTGAGGAAGCAGGTGCGGGTGCCGCTCCATCGGTACGTGCGTGAATGATTTGCCAATGCGTCCCTGTCTGTGTACAAAAAGGCACCTGCAGGCCGCTGCTTCTCTCATGGCTCTTGTGTCCTGCATGTGCTGGGTGCAGGCCTCGGAGGGCGCTGCAGCCGTGTTTCTGCCGCCCGATAGCCATGCATCGGCAGCCCAGGTCAGCCACACACGCATAAACACAGACACACAGACACACAGGCACACAGACACACAGACACAGTTCCTATTGCCTGTCTTTCTCAGGCCTGGGAGGACACAACAAGCACCGAGACCACACTGCAGAGCAGCGGACAGGAGCAGCAGCAGCAGCAGCAGGTGCGTTGGGCAAGAAAGACCACACATCACCAGTCAGCCCACCAGCAAGAGCAAGGAGTGCGCCAAGTGCGTGCGTGTGTGTTGTCGTCCTGTGTGCAGGGCGATCTGGGCGCCTCAGTGAGGGAGTGGCGACAGGCCTCTGCCCGTCAGGGCACGCCTGGGTCGAGGATCTTCTCTGTGGATGTACCCACGTACAGAATCTGGAAGCTCATGGCCCCCAGTAAGCAATGTCAGAAATCCGCTGGAGCTGCCCTGGTACATGTATGTCTGTCTGTCTGCTTGCGCGTGTGTGTGTGTGTGTGGTCACATTCATCCAGCGATTCAGGCGATCGCTCTGTACGACCTTAACACTCTCACCCTTCTCAAGCGCATCCAGGCGCACCTGGCCATGACCAATCTCGGCGACCTCCACCTCGTCACGATTAACGACACCGCTGCGCTCGAACCCCTGTACAGCCTCTATGACGACGACATCTGCCCTCCTTACCTGGCGCCGCTGCCATACTGCTTCCTGCAGCTCTTGGCTGAGCGGCTCGAGGCGGCACACCACGGCATCGGGCTCTTCTGCCAGAGCCCCACCCAGCTCAGCACCATCACCACCGCCGCTTGGGACTGCCAGGCCGCTCACACCGCCCTCGAGACGGCACTCGACGAATACCTGCCGTCGGCGCCGTTTGCCCTCAGCGAGCGCAACGACATCCGGCACTCAGCGATTTTCCCCTGCCGTACACTCGGCGGGGAGGAGATCAGCGGGGCGCAATGGCTGGGTGCGGTCGTGGCCGAGGTCGGGGATGGCTGGGTTTCTCAGGGCAGGATCGCGGCGCTCTGTGAGGAGATCCCGCCGCTGGCCAGCAAATTCAAGACAGCCATGTACGAGACCTTCGTCCCTGCGCTGGAGTCGGTCATGTCGTTTGACGTGGGGTCCATCCAGCTGGCCCTCACCAAAGAATTCACGCTCCCCGATGGCACCAAGGCTTCCCACGGCACCATCAACCTGACCCCCTTCAAAGTGACGGTAATCGGCTGCGACGCATTTGGCCCACACAAGATCGCGGCGGATTGGGGGCAAAATGACCGGCAAAGCTTCGCCGGTACGCAAAGAGGGGAGCCCCTCCCCGAGCCCGCCCTCCAACCCCAGAACACACACACATACACGTGTCTATCTGTCTATCTGTCTGTCTGTCTGTCTGTGGGGTGCAGCGCTCAGACAGTTCATCAGCAGCAGGATGGTGGGCGAGCCGGGAGGGCGGTGGCACGCGGAGGAGCAGACCATTGCGGAGGACCAGACCATTGCGGAGGACAGCGCCGCTGCGCCTCCGACGTCTGGCCAGTCTGCGCGCGGCAGGGGTGGGAGAGGCGGGCGAGGGAGGGGATCATGAGTGTGTGTGAGGGGGCGGACGGACTGACGGGAGGAGAGAGGCGGCGAAGGCTTGTATGGTGTCGTCGTTGGGTCAGTGGAGCACGGGTCAGTCAGCCAGCCACTGGCGCTTACTTTCTGGTGTTGTGTGCGGGCGCCAAATGCATGGATGGCACGGTGGTTTGGTGCATTCATTGTGTCTGGGGCTGCTCGATGCCCGGCACACTATCTATCGATCTGCCTGCCTGCCTGCCTGCCTGTCCATTTGGTTGGCACACGTTTTGATGCATCCCTCCCTCACTCCCTTCCTCTGTGTGTCTCTGTCCCTCGCAGTGTCCGAAGCCCCTCCCTTTTGCGTTTTTACCGTGCCTTTCAAGTTTTTACCGTGCAGTGGTCATTGATTGATTGATAGGTCTACTCTGCTATCTATGTGATTTCCCGCGAGACCTCAGAATGGACACACTGGAAGTGAAACGCATCGTGTATCTCCTGTCCGTCATCGGGACAAGCCAAGCCAGACCTTCGCAAGCACAGAAAAGCCTTGAGCGTCCCCCGCTTTGGTAAGGCCACTCGCCCGTTCCATTCAACCATCACACCACAACACCATGCAACGTGTCAGTCCAGTGCAGTGTCACCTGCTACCTGCTGCTACGAAAATGATAGTTGGATGGTCACCTGCTGCAGTTGACCCTTCCAACCTGCCTCAAATGAACGGCCCAGCCACCAACACACGTACACACAGAGGGAGGGAGGGAGGGAGGGACACACACCTGCGGGCCGGCCCAGCCTGCCTGACACGACACACGCATGCTATGCTACCTGTCTGCCTCGCCCACTAAACAAATCACATGCTTCATTCACACACAAGACACAGATAAGCACACAACCTTACACATCTACCACACACCATCGCGAGTAGTGCAGTCAGAGAGAGACAAGCAGTCAAATGTGCCCTCTCTCCGCTCCGCCTCGTTCATTCCACGCGGAGGACCGTCACACCGAGCGTCCTGACGTAGTGCTCCCATTTGGGCCCTTTGTTGGCCATGATACTCACGGTGTTCCGATCTGCACACACACACACGCACAACACGAAACAGTGCAGTGCGTGTCCGTGTTTAGGTGTCGGATTGGTTGGTCTGCTTACTGGTGCCGTGAGCACGCGCGACTGCCGTGAAGCTTTCGTATGCGGTCACCTTTCCCGTTCTGACGCTGGTGACCAGCACAGTCCCCCTCGTGTATGCCTGTCGAGCCTCCATCGCCAGCCGCAGGGCCTCCTCAGCACCGTACTTGTTGATTGAAAACGACTTCTCGCGGTACCCGTCCTCGTCTCTGTACGTGGCCCGATAAGCGTGATGGAACTCGTGCAGCGACACACCAGGAGGAGGATCAGAACAGTACCGCCCGGCCGCCTCCTGGGATGACATCGGTCCCGCAGGTCGTCGCCTTTCGTTGCAGACAGTCTCGATGGGACCGGCTGTGTCGATGCAGCTCCCAAATCGACGCCAGATCGACGAACGAGAGTCGATCTTTGCGAGCTCAAACGCATCACTTCGACTGTGCTTTCTCGTCTTTGTGAAGCGATTATGGGGTTGATGGAGCGACGGGCTTCACACTTTATGCAGAGATCTTCAGCTTGAATGTCAAAATGATGAGTTGGTGATGCTCACCGGGACGTGCATCAGCTCTCGGCTCGGAGGCCCTCATCTCGTGACTGCCGTCTGCCGTGCGTCGGTAAGGCCCATCGCGACGGTCGAGGCCACTCGCCACGGCAGTCCCTACCAGCCCAGAGAGGAAGCAGCACCGGCTCACAAGCACCGGCCGTCATCAGGGGTGGTTCAGCAGGCGGCAGCTGAGGCCCTCGCAGCTATTAGGAGGCAGCACGTGGTGGTTCGGCGGTGGATCTGACCTGACCCCTCTTACCTGGTGGAGGAGGATGCCGTCCACTTTCACCAGACGCTCAAGGACGCCTGCGACAAGCACGACCC